CTCCACTTTTGAGAAGCCAGTATTAAGGGCAGACAGGCGGAAATCCAGTGCAGAGAAGTCAAAGATGCATCGAGAGAAACTAAGGCTCAATAGAGAAAATTTGAGAGCTGGTGATAAAATGGTGTCAGGTGTGGAGGAACAGGGATCTAGTGGGGAGAATTTGGAGGACGGTCCAAGAATGGAAAATGTTAGTGAAGAGGACATTGAAAAACTACAAGAAGCTACTAGTGATGAAAAAGTGATAGAAGTTACCAACGAGGAAATGGAAATTCCTTTTGAAAGTATGGGTGAGAGAGATGAAAAGCTAGAAGAGATTGAGGAAAAAGAAGTTGATGAGGATAACTTGCGTGAAACAGAAGATATTACTGGTGAATCTGTGTCTATGGGTGAGAAGGATGTGATAGAGGAAATAGATGAAGAGCCCAGTGAATGAGGCAGTGGAAGGACTGAAGCTGAGAGAGTATTGAAAGTAAAAGAGAAAAAGTTAGAGCTCAGCACAACGTTATTGATAATGAAGGGGTAAAAGGGAGAGAAAAGGAGACTCTGAGCCCAAAAGAAGAGTGGGAATTGAAACGGTTCCTGGGCATGAAGTGAGGCCATTCAAGGAAAGCTAAGAAGAATGGTAGAGAGGGAAACAGGAGCATTGTAAGAAGAAAGACAAGATTGGGTAATGAGTTGATGGGTAAAGGAAAATTGGATATTGGGTTCTTGAAAAGCTGTTTGAGAAGTGAACTACGGATGGGCTAAAATACTTTCATCTGAACATGATTGGGTGTACCACATGGAGAAGAATGCCTAGTGAGGAAAAGCAGGACGAGAACAGGGTAAAGGACAGATATTGAGGGCTGTAAAGAAGAAGCAGGTTGAAGTGACCAAACTATCTGAAAGTGGATCCTGAAAAATGACAGGCTTCAAAGTGACAAGAGAAGAAATGAGCACACTTTAATGTTCGAGAAAAACGTAAGAAGTCACATTCCATAAAGATAATTATGTTTTCTGTTTATTTACTTATTTACTTAGGTTTGTTTTTTATTTTTGCAGTACTGGGGATTGAATCCAAGGCCTTCACCCTGAGCTATGTTCCTAACCCTTTAAATTTTTAAAAAATTTTTAAGACCTTGCTAAGTCACTATGTTCCCCAGGCTGGGTTCAAACTTGTGATGTCTTGCTTCAGCTTTCCAGAGTACTGGGATTGTAGGTGTTGGCCACTAGACCTGGCTAGTTTGCTTGTTTTTAAAGTTGTGTACACACACACACACACACACACACACACACACACACACACTTTCTGTATCCTTCTCTCCCATGCAACTTCCTGCAAAGCTTTATATGTCTGGACCATGCTCATCCTCACTGATCTTCCCTCAATAAGCCAGCTGTATCCAGAATAATCGGTGGGCTCCATCTTAATCACATCACCATTTTCACATGTTCCCTTCACCTCTCCATCAAACCAGAATCGCCCATGCTTGATACGAGTGCTCTTGATTATTTGTACCTGCATTGTTTCCATCTTTGACCTTTTAATCATTCACCTAATAATCACATGGGCTTTTCCACAGCTTCTCTGTCTCTGTAGGGGTCTTCTTACATGTCTTTATATGTCATCTAACTTTTACCCTCACCCCAGGGAAGAGAGAAGACCCCTGAATGTCTACTGTGAAGACTTCAGTATTGGACTGGGATTGTAGCTCAGTGATAAAGTGCAGGATTAACATAAAGCCCTGGGGCTGGGGATTTAGCTCAGTGGTTCTGCTGCCTTCCTCACAAGCACAAGGACCTGAGTTCGATGCCCTGTACCAAACAAAACATGAGGCCCTGGATTCAATCCCTTATGTACCCCCTGGCACCCCCCAAAAGACTTCAGTGTCAAGATTAGGCTGTTATAGTCTTTCTCTTGGGCAGAGATCAGACGTGGCTATAAGTAGTCAATAGGACTGAAGGAATACTTCTACTACTTTTCTCCTCTGTGTACATTTTCAGTGTTTTTTGTTTGTTTGTTTGTTTGTTTGTTTGAGACAGGGTCTCACTGTGTAGTTTAAAGGGCTGACAGGGAATTTTTGATTCTCCTGCCTCAGCCTCCTGATTACTGGGACTACAAGTGTTTACCATTACACGTGGCTTTTCTTTTTAAATATTTTAATTAATTTTGAGATACTAGGGATTGAACTCAGGGTCTTTACATTGAACTACATCTCCAGCCCTTTAAAAAAAAAAAAATATATATATATATATATACATATA